TCGCGTGTAAATAATTTGTTTATTAAACTAACGTTGCTATATCTTTTTGTTCAATATCAATATCTTGAAAATTCTCATTTAATTCTTGTTCATCTTCTTCATCAGTATGTGATGTAACTCCTTCTAATAAATGAAAATGATTATCATTTTGATCATCATCATTTTCATCCATAATTTCAAAATTATTTTCTAAATCATGTTGCAATGCTTCTTGAATATCATTGACATCTGAAGTATCAAATTTATCTTTTGAAGAATTTAATTGAATTATTCCTTTTGGTAATGGATTATGTTTATCATGAAATGATTGTTTATAATATTGTCGTACACGAGGTTGTCTTATATTAGAATCACGTGCAACCGTTGGTGGTAAACGTTTATAAAATAATTTATAAGAATTATGTATAGATTTTGATGGTTCATGTGTTGGAATGTCATCATCAACAATGACTTCAATTAAATCATCATCATTATTTTCTATTGAACATTTATTTGTTGTAATTTTCTTAGTTTTTTTTTTGTTTTCTACCGAAATAATTTAATGTAGCAATTAATGTATCACGAAAATAATCAATTGAACGCATAGATTGCATTGTTTGACATAAACTACGTTTTATATCGGTTGGATCTATTAAAATTAAAAAAATATTTTTTTTTATTTGAAAAAAAATCAATCTACCTTCAACAAGTAATTTTCTACTATGCCAATTTTTATCAGATTTCATAACAGGCATTCGTGTTTGAATTGAAACAACAAATTGTTTCAAATTAAATGTTTTAACATAATATGAAAGTAATTGTAAAAAGAGTATTTCAACACTTGTTGTATTTTTTGATTTCCATTCTGAGATATATTTTTGACAGACATGAAAAAATTCGGGATATTGATTTTCATTTAATGTTATTGGAACATTATCAATTCCATAAGCCTAGAAAAATGTATATTTCATTTTCTATTTAAAATTTAAATCTAATAATCATACATATTCATGTAAACATGGTAAAACAGGTTGATCGAGTTGTTGTAAAAAATGAATAACCATCAAATGAAAAACAACAGGATGAAGTGTTCCTAATTCTGGTTTATCTGTATTGCACGTCTAGAAAATTTAGGTATGTATATAAAGATGTTTATTTTTCTATAACAAACTTTAGATAATATTCGAAATAATCGAAGTAATTTAATAACACGTGGATCAAATTTTGTATAAATTCGAAGTAATTTTGATAAATATATACCCCGAGTATAACCTGAACTTATTTTAACACGCATATTCGGTTCATTTACTATTAAATTAATAAATGATGGTTTATGTTCAGTATCAATTTGAGCTTCTTTACATAAATCTAATTTAAAAGAAAAAGCGTTGTTTTTTTGTTACGTTTAAAAATATTTACATACCACTTTTTTTTAATTATATCGAGTAGTTCTTTAAGAGCGTCATGTGAAGGTGTTTCTTTAAATTGGATATCAATATCCATAACACCTGGTTTTTCCAGGCAACATTCAAAATATATTGAACCATATAAGTTGACTTGACAATCTAATTTTAAATACAAATAAGATATTTAAAAGATGATTATTAGTAAAATATTTTGATCCTTGAAAATGAATTTATTTATTATTAAAAATAATTTTTTTTTGTACTAGATTCATTGATAGATTTTTGGTAAGTTAGTTTACTTTAATATAAAGAAAAATATGGTTATAGACCAGATGTTATCTAATTATTTCTACACATCTTTTTCTTTTTTCAATCGTAATATATAGGTTTGCTCGTTCTGTATTGCCGTCTTATCACTTCGTCCCGGTAGTTGAAAGAAAAAAGGCAGAACAGAACAAATTATATATTTCATAAATGACATTTTTTTTTATCTTATATTGCAAACTGAATTGATAGTGAAAAGAGATATCAATAGAATGTCTTTAAAAAAAAGGAAATTAATTAGTTTAAAAATAGGATAGTTTTAATTTTAATCTATTATTGTATTCATATTAATAATCGACATTGGAATTTACCTTTATTAGCATTCAGAATAAATTGACGTAATTTTGTAAAGACAATTTGTCGTTGTTTAAGACTATTATCAGATAAACAACGTTCTGATAGAATTTTATTAAATGCATTTTTTTAATGCTAATAAATGTTCTGTTGTTGGTTCGATAATATCAATTGTTGAGCGACCAATTTCCGTCTGAAGGATTAAGAGTATTACGCAATTACAATAAATCATATCTTACTTTTGGTGGTGAAATCTCGGGTTTATTGACTTGATCATCATTACTACGAGCTAATGAAAAAGAAAATAGATTCTATTTGTTTTTGTTTAGTTTTTATTAAAATGTTTTTACCAAGATTTTCTGAATCGAATGGTTTATTTTTTCTTCGTCGTTGATGTATGGGTTTTTCGTACGGTTTTGATGTTAATAATGGTTCTGGTTGTATACATTCCAATAATGGTTTAGGATTGGTTGTATTAAGTTTTTTTGGAACCTCTTTTCGAAAATTTGTACGATAATTTCTGGTATTACTTTCAACATGAGATGCAACTAAAGTATGTAATGGGTTAGGATTTATTTTTCGTGGACTTTTAGTGGATGGATCATTCATTATGTCAATGATGAGTTAATTTAATAAGTTAGAAATTTAAATCTAAAGTATAAAAATACATTTTTATATATTGTGTAATAAATACGGAATTTTCCAATTTATGTGTAATACTACCTTGTCACGTGAATCATGTATGAATTATTTTTTTTTTAAATTTATTCGTTAAATTTAATAACTGTAAGATAACGTTTTTTCTATAAGTATTTTTTTCTGATAAAAAGTATTCTCAAGTGATTGTTAAATAGGAACATTTTTTTACCCTGTCTGGGTCAAATCCGATGGAATAATAAGTCATATGTACAAAACACGTTTGTTCTCAATATATATATATTGAGAACAAACGTGTTT